TGCAGGTGGTCTTGACGGAGCGGCAGTGATGATCAGTCACGGAGCTCGTCAATCGTTCCACACAGGATCACTGGAAGACACAGTTAACTTGTCAAGCGCCGTGTCAGTCGTAAATGACACGCACACCGGGTCTAGAAGATTCTGGGAGACCAGTAATCGTCGAAGAGTCGAAGGTTGAGCGGAGAATCTTGAGAGCGAGGTCTTGAGGATCACGTCGGCGGAAGGATTCGTCATCTCGGGAGAGGAACAACATTGGTGACGGCGTCACGAGAATCGGCAGGCAAGGAGGGACAGTTCTTGCCAAGGTCACCAGCACGGCAGCGGGTGTGGTGAGTGAGCGTAGCGAGATGCACGAGGAACGTGGGCGGCGATCACCAGCGGACGGGTCGGGGCGGCGGACATGGCCGGAGTAGCAACGCGAGAACAGGAGAGCGTCGGCAGGTGATGCGGCGGTGAGGACGTTCGGCGGTAGTCACCAGCGGACGAGGCGGCGGACACGGCCGGAGTTGCAGCGACGTCAGTAGAGAACATGGGAGCGTCGGCAGGTGATACGGCGGCGAGGACGTCCGTGAGATGGGCTCGTTAACGGGCGAGCGAAACTTGTGCGTCAGGGCACGGCGGCGAGGGGACGACGTGGTGATCCGAGAGTCAAGGTCAGCAGTGGCGTTTCAGCACGGGCGTCTGGCTCTGGGGACAACAGACGGGAACAACAGTACCATGTCTTGGCGACAGAAGACATAATGCCATATCTCAGTATCTCAGGGAGTTACAATATCAACACGAACTCATAATGATTAGGAAATAACTGGAAGCAACGTGTCAAGTATTGGGAACAGAGGGTGTTAATTGCAACATTTACCTGAGAGATAGGAGGCAGTAACAAACAAACGAGATTGTAGGACAAAATCTCGTGGAAATTGCGAGTTTATAGAGCCATGCAAGATAAAGGAATGATTCTCCATGTCATATTTCGTAGGAATTCACTGTGCAAGATCAGAGAAAACAGATATCTTGTGAAAGTAGGTAGATAAATCATAGAACACATTTCTTCAGGGGAATGAGAGTAGTTGCGTGCAAAAATGCAAGATTTTTCATCGAAAATGAAGGGTAGTTGCATGCTAGGATACAGGAAGGATTTTCCTATTAAGAGAATTACTGAAAACATGCAAAAATGCAGGAAGAATTTCCTGGGAAAAAATAGCTCTTATGAATGAACTGGAACTTAGCATCGTGGAGATTCAGAAATCATTACGACAGAGTAAAGGAAAACGAACTAAGTACTCATAGGTAGACAGAACTACAGGGAAATTAACGTAATCATGCTAACCACAGGGCATGAGTGAGGCGCGATCGGAGTGAGGGGAGACATGCTAGTTAAGGGGAGACAGATGCCAGTGAGGGGAGATCTCGTTTTCTATGCGGGAGGAACACAGGTGTTCGCGAGAGCGAGAGGAAATCAGACACTTCACTTCACAGGGGATTTCCTAAGCAAATGAGAACAGCGAGGATAAAAGAAACTCACCTTGAGGTACTGGCAGGGCAGTGTAGATTGATGTTGCTGCATCAGGCGACTGCAGTAACTGTTGAGGACTGCGGCAGGTGCGCAGAGGGAGTAGTGACAGCAGGGAAGACTGGCTTGGTGTCGGAAGTCTTGAAGTGACAGAGTTCGATAAGAGTTTCTTTGCTTGCAGGAGTCGATAATCTTGGTAGAGACTTGTAACTTCTCGTGAAGTTGATCTTCAGAGTACTTGGACGATGTCTTCGGAGGGGCGCGTGGTGCGGCAATCTTCGGAGGGCGCGTGCGGTGCGGTAATCTTCGGAGGGCGCGTGGTGCGGCAATCCCAGCGTGATGCCACCACTTGTAATGTATGTAGTGGGAGGAAGGAGGCGTCCCACCCCCCACTATTATTACTTGTTGTTTGGTAGGTCGTGGCTGAGCGGTAAGGCAGTAGTAAGTAAGTACTGACGTACTCTGAAGATGTTGGTCTGAAGTTAAACTTGTCGCAGTTTTCTTGTCTTTATTCTGGGTAACTGGTACAGAGGGCAAGGCAGGTGCCCAGGGAGGAGCACGTCCTGCCGAGCCCGCGGGGGCGAGCGGTCTGCTGTAGATGGCACAGGAATTGCCATGAACGAAGTTCGTTTTGAGACAATATACAATGGAAAAACATGAAAGAATATGAAAGAACATGAATTCAGAAACATCGGTTCACACACGTGTTAGGTGTTTGTACAACTAAAAGCGTCGTGATAAGAAAGTATGTCCGTAGAATATTCGTGAACAATTGATAACTAGAGTAACTACAATGAAAATTATTACAAAAGTAGTGATATATACAATGCAATAACTGGGGAACATTATGAGCATACATAATACATGAGTTTGCAAGTAGTTATAAGGTAATCAGAAGCATTGTCAGTAAGGGTCGGAATTGCTTGTTCTGGTGGCAATTTGTCTCGGTCGTCTCGCGAGGGGCGCAGGACACGTTGGCGCCGGGGATAAACAGTAGATCCTATGTATTGCGGGGCCTACAGCGAGGGCGATGGCGAGGTCGAGGTGAGAGGTCACTAAACTAGCCCTCCCCGTTGCATCAATCTGATAAGTATGTAATTTAGGCCAATCAATGGAAATGACAAAAGTATTGATGAGAAGGAGGAAGATAATAATGTGATGATAGTTATGATAAATATGATAACAATAACAATGATAGTAATGATGATTTTAATAATGATGAAAGTATTGATGATAGTGATATTAGTAATGATGATAATGATAATTATTATTATAATAATGATAATGACCAATAATTATTACTATAATTATTATACAATATTATCATTATTATCATATCATAATGATAATGATAATCACAATAACAATAAGAAGAATGAAAATAATGATAATCATAACAAAATAATAACAATGATAAATATGATAATAACAATAATAATAGTAATGATAAAAAAATCTGAGTAATGAGAATGAGAATGAACATAGTAACAATGATAATAATGATAATGACATTGGTAACGATAATGATAATGATTATAATGAAAATAAAGGTAATGATAATGGTAATGATTATAATGAAAATAAAGGTAATGATAATGATAATGATTATAATGAAAATAAAGGTAATGATAAAAGATAATAATAATAATAATGATAATAGTGGTAATGATAGTATAAGAATAATGATCATAAAAGAAACAATATATAATATAAAAAGATGAATAACAATAATAATAATAATAATAATGATGACAATAATAATAATAATGATGACAATAATAATAATAATGATGGTAATAATGATAAAAATAATAACAATAAGAAGAATGATAATAATAAGAATAATTATAATCACAATCATAGTAATAATAGTAGTAACGGTAGTAATAATAAGGGTAGTAACGATAATAATACTAATAACAATAATAGTAACGATGATGATAGTAATAATAATAATGATAATAATAACTAAAAAATAACTGCAATAGTAATAACGAAAAATCCTAATAACTAAAGATCTCTGCAGTTACAAGTGGCCGTGCCGGACAGTGAAGGGAGAGTGATGCTGTGGGAGCAATATCAGGTCAGGCCACATCTTCCAACACATTTGACACGGGTTGGATGCTGGATATCTCGGGCCCAGGCTCTGAAATCCGGACCTTCCTCTCTGTCCCTCGTCCCTGAAACTGGGACTGATGCTGACGAAGGCCTGAAGGATACGTCCCTGGCGGTGTCTGGCCCACTCGGTTTCCTTAAGGACCTGCCGCAGGACTTGCACGAGCGGAGTGAAGGGCTGAGGCTGCTGCTGGGGGCGGGCGTCCTCCTCGGGCCGCGAGAGGAGCTGGCCAGCCGAAGAGGCGACCTTGACGGAACTACACTTCGGTGCATGGCGGATGATGTAAGACTGAGTGCAGAAGGGGACCGGTTGGATTAAGTACGGAGCGCTTATGGCAATAACATGTCACCGGAATTCCTGAGAATGTCATATGCTATAAGAATGTTTCCGTTTATCTGCTGGACAATGACCTTGAACATTATAAGTATTCATAACGTGTTCGCCTCCAGTTCCAGCCCCTCACCATCCCTGACTATGGCCCGGCAGGCGACTATCGCGTCACAGGCTCCTTCGTGGACATCATGGCCATCTTGGAGCGTTCCCTTAACTTCACGTAAGTCTTTTCACCTGACATCCGCTGAGATGGAGATTCCCCAGAGTCATTGGCTTCGAAATGAAACAAAAGCGATCTGTGTTTTCCTTTAGCTTTTGCATGAACCGAAACAAAGTATAACAAAAATGAAGTAACTTTGGAAATACCTACCCATAAATACCACAATTCAAAAAGTCAATTCGTAAATCCGAGGTTCTGGAATATGTCGAGATATAACTGCCAGAAACAAAGAATTGTATTGTCATGCATTTACTTCTTAATAAACATATTGATAAAACGGTTTAGAGAAAGAACATTAAACTTTCCTAATAGACTAGATAGATCTTAATGATTCCCATGCCCGGAGCTCAGGAAAAATCTGTACTTAGGCATATATCAGAATTCTCAAGATACAAAAAGGGAGAAGAAAAAAATAAAAAAAACAAAAATTATCCTTTAGAATCCCTCTCGAATGGTAGCAAAAGTTTTCTCTGTTCTCCATTTCCTCCGACTGATTAACTTCCCCATTTTTTTATGTTATTTTAAATTACTTATTCATTCTGTTTCTTATTCATTACTGTACTGTGCTCCTTGTTTTTAACGTTCTTCATTCTACAAGAACCACGAACATTTTAGCTGACTGATTAGGTCTGCTTACATTTTTTTGCATTTGTCTGGATCTAAAATAAACTAAAGTGATAATTGAAATAAGAGTAATATAAATAATGCATAGATGTGATAAAAATGATCTTGTCAGTGAACACAACTGCAGCTTTTTTCTTAGTTTCAAGTAAGAGGCAACATAAATTAAACTTTCCGTGTGTAGTTCTGAAGAATCCAAGCATCATACGAAAAGTGAAGAAAACAGACATGAAGAGAACAGCCACAAAAAGTAATGAAATTAAATTGTGACGTTTCGGAATCGTCAACAATTCATCAGACGGACAAGTAATCAAAACGGTTCGATTTCGGTTATTTGTTCGTCCGATGAGGAACTATTGACGAGTTCGAAACATTTCGATTCAATTCCAGTTTCGATTGTTTCATTTTTATCCTTGTGTACTCGTTACTATATTTGAGATTAGACATGAAGCGGTTTCGTCTCCTCTGTTCAGTCCCTAACTTCCCTCCGTCTCTCGATTTTCTCTTCGTGCTTTTCGCTTTCCTCCTCTGTACCCTCTTCGCTTCATGCATGTTCTAACTGTTGCAGATGCAGCTGGTCTCGGCCGGAGGATCGCGCTTGGGGGGCGTTGCAGCCCGACGGAACCTGGAACGGCATGATAGGCGACCTCATGGCCGACAAGGGGGACGTCATCGTGGCCATCAGTAGGACGCTTCCCAGGGAGGAGGTGGTGGACTTCACTCTCCCGCTCCTCCTAGACAGGTGCTAGTTATCTCAGATATTTTCATTGCATCAGATTGATACGAATATATAATGGTACTATAGATATCGCTTAGATATCGTTTTCTACATTATTCGAGTGTGCTCCCAGTAATACAGTTTTTACAGCAGTGCTTGTCAATGAGCCCTTGACATTCTGTGCTAGAAAACGGCCCACACAAACCCTTTCATCCCCACCACTCGCCAGGCACATCTTAGTTCTCCGTCGGCCAGGGACAGCCAATTCTGGAATCTCTTGGTCAAGCTACACTCAGGAGTTCAGCTCAGGTGCGTGGGCGGGCGCTGCAATGATGGTACTTTTCATGGGGTCTTGCATCACCCTCATAACGCGCTACAGCAGATCGTCGGGGGGCCATGTTCCCTTCACTGAAAGCATACTGCTCATACTAGGAGCAGCTTGTCAGCAAGGTTCGTGAATCGTATTGGTGTTAGTTTCTAAATTTCATTCACTATCGCCTTCGTCATTCCATTCCAGCATATTCGGCAAAATAAATTCTCTGCTGACTCTTTCCAGACATTTCTTATTCTTCTTTTGCCATTTGAACATCACCCCCCCCCCTTTTTTCTGCCATTTGATAAGTATGTATGCTCTTGTTGCCTTCTTAACAGGGACCAAACAAGATATTCAAGGAACGGCGGGGCGTATCGTTCTCCTGACGGCGCTCCTGCTGGGCACGGTCACCTATATCCACTACACTTCCTTTCTCATCTCAGCCCTTTCCGTGAACCGACTTCTGCTGCCCTTCACCACACTGGCCGAACTCACTCGTGTCGACAGTCACCAGCTGATGGTCCTCAAGAGCACAGTGCAGGAGGATGTCTTAAAGGTCAGAGGGAGCGGACCGCAGGAAAATCTGACAAACAAGATCAATCCACGAGATACAAATAGCATATACTTTATATAACACCTTTCCAGCCTTTACAAAATAGTCCCCATTGCTCTTTTTCCTGCAGTTTGGTTTTATTCTTCCAGCTTTCAACTAACCCAGTGTACCAAAAAGCCTGGGCGAATATTCAAGCCGGAGGAGAATGGGGGAGCGTTGCCACCAACGACGTCGGCTTTGCAAAGGTGTTGGAGGGCAAGAACGTGTACCTCACAACAGAGTCCGAATACAGTTACCAGTAGGTTGAAGCTTTCTGAAAAAGAGGCGGGAGTGTTAGTTGTAAACTGTGGGATGAAAATTGTTAAGCATGTTTTACCGTTGTTAGATATTTTGGTAATTTTCTATATTACCTTCGCCACACCAATATCGACGATTTTGGTATCTTTGGATTCCTCTCACTGTCCATATTCCAAATATGTAGGTTTTATTGCGCGGAAACCCCCGTTAGCGGCAAACTTGGGCACTATATCGGGGGCGACGATGTCGGAGCAGCGGACGTAATATAGTAATTTTGACGATTTTGGTATCGTTGGATTCCTCTCACTCTGTACAATCCAAATATGTAGGTTTTATTGCGCGAAAACCCCTTGTTAGCGGCAAACTTGGGCACTATATCGGGGGCGACGATGTCGGAGCGGCGGACGTAATATAGAAAATTACCCTAATAATATAACCCACAGTGAAAATATCCATGGTTATTCACATGACTTTCCATTGCAGGGGCTGCGCCCCCTGCGACCCCCCTGGGGGGCTACCGCCCCCCAACCCCCGCCGAGGAAACAAAATCTCCACCACATATTCACGGCAGGATAGAGCGCACACGAACTAGACGCGGAGCCGATAACCTACAATAACCTAGGATTTTAAAGGTACTAACCTGATTGATAAATGCCGCCGATAGTAGAGAGGGTGCTCCTTCACGCAGAATCTCATCCTGGCTTGTTGCTACCTCGCGCAGAAAATCTATCGGAGTAGGAGCACCCTTCACACACTGTCATCGCGGCGGCCATGGCGAAGTACTGAATGCGACGGTTATTTCGGTTAGGATTTCGAAAATCGTGGTTCCAGGGGACGGGAAACTCGACCTTGAGGCCATCGGCGTAACATCGAGAGAGGCGCAAAACCCGCCGACGAGGGCGCTCTTCTGTTCATGGTATACTCTGTTCATCCTGATTATACTACAATCGTGTCTGTATACAATGCTGACTATGTCAAGGTTAGTATGCTGATTCAGTGGGAATGTTACGAGGTAAATGTAATACGTCCGCCGCTCCGCGATCGACGAGAATTGTGTAACGCTCTAGCCTGCCGGGAATACGTGGTGGAGGTTTTGTTTCCTCGGCGGGGGTTAGGGGGCGGCAGCCCCCCCCAGGGGGTCGCAGGGGTGCAGCCCCCTGCAATGGAAAGTCATATGAATAACCATGGTTATTTTCACTGTGGGTTATATTATTAGTGTTATTTAACCTCGATTTTCTCTAGAACCTTCCATGCCCTCCCTTGCAATCGGGGCCAAGTTTCTCGCTAACGGGGGGTTTCCGCGCAATAAAACCTACATATTTGGAATGTGGACAGTGAGAGGAATCCAACGATACCAAAATCGTCGATATCGGTGTGGCGAAGGTAATATAGAAAATTACCGATATTTTAGATGTGCTGACGATTATGAGGACAATATTTTTTCTGTTGATAAAGAAATGCGAAGGTACTTGAATATCATGGAATATGCTATACGATGTGTACATATATGACGAATAACAAAATGATATTAGGGAATAAAAAAACAAAAAAACTGATCACCTAAGTAGCCCAACTTCACGGGGAAAATCTCCCACTCAGGTATGGCGGCGACAGTCGGATCCTGGCTCTGACGAAGGAAAAATATATCGCCATCTTCGTCAGCGTGGCGGTTACGAAGAAATCACAGCTGAAAGAACTCTTTGATAACAGGTTGTGATTTTAGACTTACATGTTGTAAAGGGTTTATTTTTCAGGATTTAAGGATTCCGAATATTGAAAGATAAATAGTTCGAACCTGTCTGCTCATTGCAGATGAAGGTTTAACGTTGAATTCTGTATTGCCCAACTAATCCTACAGAACACGACCAAATCACATCAAAACAACTGTATAATTAACCAAAAAATGCAATCTTTAAATCAGTTACTTCGGATTCGAACTTAATCCCCCCCTTTCCCTTCCCTTCCCCTTCAGGTTAGTGAGGATGCGAAGTGCAGGATTGCTGAGCAAGATCCTGAAGGACTGGGGCGAAGCGCGACCCCCGCCCCTGCCCAACGCCGCCCCGCCCCTGTCACTCGCCAAGACAGGGTCGGCCTTTCTGCTCCTCGCAGCTGGCACGGCGCTGTCCCTGTGCGCCCTCGGGATGGAAGTCCTCGTGACACGTTGCCTCAAGAGAAGCGCACTGGCTTCGAGGTGAATCAGAGGCGAAAGAAGGATCAAATACACAAGCATAAAGAGAGAGAGAGAGAGAGAGAGAGAGAGAGAGAGAGATGGAAGAGAGAGGGAGAGAGACAGAGACAGAGTGGGGGGAGGAGAGGAAGAGGAGACAGAGACAGAGAGAGAGAGAAGGAGAGGAAAACGGAATGGGAGAGGGAGGGACACACAACAAACACACACACACACACACACACACACACACACACACACACACACACACATATATATATATATATATATATATATATATATATATATATATATATATTATATGTATATATAATATATATATATATATATATATATATATATATATATATATATACATGCATATATATACACATATATACATATACAAATAAGCGATTTGTAGCTTTCTTCAGACCTCTATACGATATGACAGGCAGTCCCCTTGCGGGGAGCCAAGGAGCAACACACCAACATCATTGCTCTTTAATAAAGGAATCAAGACATATGGGTTGTCTCCCTTGCATCCTAAGCTCACCGTCCATACGGATGGGAAAACATAAAATGTGTTGATACAGTGGTAAGAAAAAAAAAAAAACACAAAGCAGAACCCAGATTTATTGAAATAGATGAGACAACTGTTTCGAAATCCTACTGGATTCTGTCTACAGGAGGAAGGCCAAATAAGGGATTTGGTTCAATAAACCCTACAGAGAAGGTTTGACTAGACAGTGGTAGGACAGACATTCTGGAACACCCCCAGGTAATATGTAGTCCAAAACGTGGCAGCATGAAAAAAAAAAATGTTTTTCAAAAGGGGAAATATTTCTCACATTTCAACCCCCAACACCCCAAATTCTTAACTCGTGTTGTTGAGGGCTTAGGAGGCGGTGACTGGCGCCCAATGTATGGGATCACCCCTACCTTGGATCTCAGCCCTCGCCTCAACTATTTTTTTCTTTTCCCTTTTCCTTTTCTTTTCCATCCTCTTCTGTCCACCTCCTTCCTAAGGTGTGAGAGCCATGCTGAAAGGATGATGTTTGTCATGAACGGCCTCCGGGAGCCATGGACACGGTATCCCCTTGGTTAATCTCCCAGCCCAGACCCTTTCCTTATTTCAGGCTCACCATGGCCAATGATGAGAATTCTTTGTCCTTACTGGGAGCATTAAAGTTTGGCCCTTCAACAAATAGTCTATCTATTTTTGATTAATCTGATTTCCTGCTCCCTGCCTCTGCTTTGACCACGGCTCCGGTCACTGATACTCCCTCTCCGATGCTTGTTGTCAACTCTATACATTCCGAATCATCTACCCAGATCATTACACCTCTTCCTATCTCCCAACATCCTCCTACTGCAATCTGCTTCATTGTCTACCCACTCCCTCCATATTAGTACAACCCATCCTTAGTGCAATGAACTTCTTCCACCCCCTAAGGCAAGGACTGGTCAGGCTGTGGAAACGACCTGCTCGCCTCCCTTGTTGATTATGGTGCAGTAAGGACATTGTTACACCATTCCTTCCAGAGGACAGCAAAGTCCTACATCCGTATTGCTAAGATTAGCTTTCGTAGACATGACCTCCCTCATGGTATTTATATGTCATGTCAGAAATGTTGGCGTTTTGGCCATCCAGCCAAACACTGTCGATCCACAGCCTATACCTTCTGAATGTCCAGACTGGTCATGGCCGTTCAAATTTCTCAGTCACGCACATTTTCTCAAGATGTCTCAGCACTCCCCCCCCCCCCCTTCCAGTGTCTATTCTCTCTATCCCGAACCATCCTATCTCTACTCCCTCTCTCCCCCAGTCAAATTCCTTTTCCAGTCTTAATCCAGATACTACAATCTCTACCACTTCCCCGATGCTTTCCACTCCTCTTTCTCACTTTACTGTTGCACCAGGCATTCCATCTTCTCCTACCACATCCTCTCCCTTTGCTCAACTTCCCTCAAGAAACTCTTGAAGACATCCGAAACTTCCTAAACAGAACCCAAGAGAATATTCCACTCACCCACCCTTCAATCCCTATATTCCTATTCCGTCTACATTCAGAGTCTTTACCGATATCCATCCTCCTCAAGTTCTCCCTACCCCTCTTCCTCCCACTCTCTCGACACACCCCTTCCTCTCCTTCTCCATGGGCACCATTCCCTCTTCGTGTCCCATTATCCTTACCTCTGGATGTTCACGTTACTCCCTTCTGTCGCAACAGTGTCCTTCTCCGGATCCTTCCCCTCCTGACTTTACCACCTTCCCTGTCCCCTTATCCCATTCTTCTACTCCTACTTCTCCAACAGCCATCTCTACCCGTATTTCTAGTTGATCGTTTCATAATGGCTCCTTAGACAATGTTCCTCTTCCTTCCTCAGACACCTTCTCTCCATTTCATACAGCAATATGATTTGAATTTGGTTGTCAATTACATGAACACAAGCATTAAGAAGAAAGCAGGATAAAAACACTCGAACATGTAAATACATCTCGAAAGCACAGCTGAGGGAAACTTTCACTTTAAAACTGAAGTAAATGAGAATTGGGATAGCAGAATATCAGTATTCTGGAATAATGAAAAAATATATGTACTAACCTAACCTCAATAAATAACGTTGAAGAAACGCATTCTAATGTTCTCATACGGCTGTGACCCATGAACTAGAAATTAAGAGAAAAATCGCTCTTCCATATACTTCAACTACATTATCATTAATTTAGAAGATATATGAAAGGCGGCACACGTTGCGCTTCTCGTTTCTCACTTGTCGAGGCAAAATGTCGGTGCTCAGCTGTTTGCGTTCGGGCTCTTCTGCTCTGAAAAATGCCTCGAATGCGGGAAAATGCATGACGATAGGTAAGTTCGCATTGCCTGACGTTATAGATACGTGTGGAGGTATGGTAAAAGAGAAATAAGTGTTTTGTAGATGCAGGGGAGGCGAAGGAAACGAGACCGGCCGCCTGTTTACACGGTTCTTAGCATTGCTCAAGATTCTCTATTATTAGTTAATACGTGTAGCTTCCTTTCTTATCATTATTATGCCATGATCAGGCACGTAGAACGCTAACATTTTCATCCTTTTCGTGATTATAATATTTGTTTAGAATAAATGAAGGGGAAAATATTCTGGACATTTCTTTTTGCCTATGATATTAATCTACAAAATGTAGGGTATTATTGAGATTAGCACCTGACACGGAGTCTGAAGAATTTGACCTTACCATCTGATAGAACATAAGATTCAAGGGTTAATGTTACCGAGAGTGACAGAGATAGGGGCGACTCTGCCACCTTACAGAGCATAATAGTCATAAACAGCACAGGTTGAGCTACTGAAGCCTTGGGCATAAGTTACTTAGGACAATATGCAGTATAAGGTAGTGCCTAAGTTGGGAGATAAAACCTATATAAATCGATAGACCGATACAAACCAAGACACTTTTCTTCTATGGCAATATTTGTGCAAATGCTTCCCAAAGGTGCTATACGTAAATGAACAGAGGTGAGGGCCCAATTTTGCTTAAGTCCATCATCATCTTTTCATGACGAAAGTAAACATTGGACTGGACGCAGAACCGATTACTGCGCTGTTCAGACTAGTGCATGTATTGCTGCGCGATTGTGAAAAGGATATTTTGCTAATCATCAGTGTCTGCCGTTCCATATTTATGCTTTCAAACACCTTTATTAATGTTTTTATACCTCATTTACGTGTTTTAAGATTGATTATACAGGTTTTAACGGGAATCGGTCTGAACGATCTTCTGCGCATGCGTATTTTCGCGTTTCTCGCCGCCAGTTTTGACAGGTGGATTCGCGGGTAGTCGGTGACAGAGAGCCGGTAAGAAATGTTTTGTTTTCGGTGTTGCGTCGATTCTAGGTTATTCCTAAGACTATGCAGTGGCAACGAAGAAGAAAAAGACCTCAATAACTATCGCAGTTCCATTTCTAAGGGCATCAAGTACCCCAAATCCCGAAAAAAGCGATAAAAACGAAGCGACCCACGATCCACGACCGACCGAAAGAAGCGAAGGAAAATTGACAGTTCTGTCTTTCGATATATAAAGGTATTTGGTTTATTGTTTACAGTATGGATGCAGCTCTATCTTGCCGTACATACCGAGGTGAAGAGAATGTGTCCCGGGGGGTGTTGGGGGGCTTGCCCCCCATCAACCCTCCCCTCGGGCAGTGCCCGAAGGGCACGCCTAGTCACGGCACCGTAAATTGCTAGGTTAGGTTGGGTTATGGGTTAGGACGTTTTTTTATGCTTGAAAGGTGTGTAATCCCGTTGATTTTACCGAAAGATGCGTTGTATTCCCGTAGAGTTTTTCGAATTTTGGCGCGCCGGTGCGTAGACTTTCAACGATGGCGGTTACATCCGTAGAGTTTCATTGGCCGATTTTAAGCGCTTTTTGTGCTAGTTTTACGCATTTTTGATCGTTATTCTTCTTATTTAAGCTTGTTTTACCCCATAATTTCCCTGATATACTTCATGCCCTCCCCTACTAACGGGACTGACAAATTAAGATTGTCGATGGAAGTGGTACTCAGATCTCATCAACGAAGCATTTGCACAAGAAACAACATCAAGAATCGTTGAAATCAGTAGATTTCATGCAGATAAATATCAAAATTAGTTCGAAAGTAAGCCCCTACCCTGTTATGCATATTGACCGTTACTTATTGCGACGCATGTAAATAGAGGGAAATGGACACCATCTTATAGATCGGGAAAATAGAATAGGATACAACGTAGTTTAAGTTACAGCGGCTTCATTGTCACCACTAAATGATGAAAATATACCTCTGGTAAAGATTAGAGAGACCGACGCACGTAGATAGAGGAAAATGGACACCGCCATCTTATAGAGCGGGAAGAATAGAAGGGGATGGCATATAGCTTAAGATGCGCAGGCCTTACAGTCACCGCTAAATGAAGAATATATAACATGCGGCCGCCGATAAGTCGATAAGCTTGTTTACTTTGCGAAGAAAAACACGACACTGACCCACGAACGCATTTTTGTGTTCACAAACTAGTCTGTATCATCATGCGCTTGTCAAAAAATATTTGGCTAATTATCTGTGTATGCTGGTACGCATTTATGCCATTAAGTATTTTAGTAATGTTATACTTCATTTGCATATTTTTATATTTATCTATACCCTCATATAGAATCCTGTGAATCGAGTGTTTCACACTTTCTTGCGCCAGCCACAGGTTGACAGCTCACTATACCGCTTATTTCGAGATTGAAAGCCGGTGAGAAATGTTGTGTTTCCAGTGTTGTGTTGATTCTGGGTTCTTTTTAAGACTTTTACAGTGGCATCGAAGAATAATTAGACTTTAGTAACCATCCCAGTTTTATATCAGACCCCTTCAAGAGCTCCAAATGACGAAAAAGGTGATTAAAACCGAAGCAATCCCAACAGTACAAAGAAACAAGAGTTTCATGGGTAATTCTAAGTAAGACAGCTGTGCCTCTTCTTTGTTTTTATTTCTTCTACCCCCATCAATCTTGGGGGACCCGTGAGGAATCGCGGGTTGAAGGGGTGGGGGGGGGGCACACACGGGAGAAATAGTAGAATGAAAAGTGAAAAATTTCATAAAAATCAAAAACCCGAGCCAAACTTCATAATAAAAAAGTGAAAGAAAGCGTAAAAATGAAAAACCTGAGCCAAACTTTGTTATAACTAAGTGAAAGAAAGCGTAAAAATGAACAAATTGAGCCGAAATTCAGATTATCAATAAAAGAAAGAAGAAAACATATAATTAAAATCAAAATAGTTGATAAACATGTAAACTTTTCGTTCAACCGTCGCTGCAAGATGCACCGTGTCGATGTCAGTGTTGCTGAAATGTTGAAGAAATTTCTTAAAGATCACTGCACAAACGAAGCATACCTTCCTACCCCCTATTGGGGGCAAGCCCCTGGACCCCCTTCCCTGGGGTATTTCCCTATTGGGGGCAAGCCCCCAGACCCCCTTCCCTTGGGTATTTCCCTACCAGGTGCAAGCCCTTGACCCCCTTCCCTGAGGGTATTCGCCGTACAGAATGTGTTACCTTAAGACTATACAGTGGCAAAAATTGGGTCCATCGACATCAAGAGCTCACCGGAAAGTGTTCAAGTAGTGAAGATTGTGTATTGTTCTGACATGGGAGGCAATTAATGTAAAGAGGCAGTACTGTTGTTACATTGTTAATAGTGAATCAAGGTTGTGATAACGAAATTATAAATCTACATCACATAGAAGAATCCTTATAATGTATAAGCATAAAAGGAATAGAGGAAATGTTAGTAGAAATATGATTAAATAATGGATTAAGAAATTAGTATTCTGTAATTATTCCACGTTGGTTGAAAGTGGTGCACAGAAAATGTGACATTTATAGAAAATGGATTAACAGAATATGAAACACATAGAAAACTAGTTTATAGAAAATATAGACATAAGCAAGGAACTCTGGCCGATTTTTTGTGTCTTAACGCTAAATATGAAAGTTTGACGATTCCAGATATAAAGGTATTTGGTTTATTATTTGATGGTGTGAACGCACCTCTATCTTGTCATACAGACCAAGGTGAAGAGAATGTTTCCTGGGGGTGTTAGGGGGCTGAGCCCCCACATCAACGCACCCCTCAGGCAGTACCTGAACGGCATGCCTAGTCATGGCAACTCTGAGTGTTAGATTAGGTTAGTTTTTAGTTTTTTTGGGAGTTTGGAACATGTGAAATCCCGTAGAGTTTGCCAAAAGGTGGGTTGGGTTCCAGTAGAGTTTTTGAATTTTGGTGCATTAACCTTTCCCATTTTACTAATCCCTGCTCTACCTCATTTATTTCCCTCTTTCCCCTTTTCTCTTCCATTTTGTCTTATAACGCTCACTAGTCTTTGACATCCTACACCCCCTCTCCCTGGATTATTCTCCTACTTTTTCAACATCCATTTCCTATACCTTCCCTAGTGATAGTTACACTGTATTTCACTTAATCACCCTACCCCCTTAACCCTCCCCTTTCTACTAATCTCTGTTCTAGTTCACTTACTCCCCTCTTTTCTCTTTTCACTACTATACTATCCTATAACACACTATAATGTTTGACATCTAACACATTTTATTCTAATCTTTAACTCCTCTTTACCCTTACCAACACAATACTTTACCATTGGGCTGTGTAACCTTTGATGTCCAGCATTTATTTGTTTCAAACATTAAACATTAAACATTTTCTCCTTCAGTATGGATGCGAATATACATGTCTTTAAATCATATGCTAAAACTTAGGCTCCTAGTAACTAAGTTTGGTCAGTTTTTTAAGAGTGATACTGGTGGTCATTAAAGGTAAGTTATTCTTATGCAAAAATAATAATGTTATTTGGGAATAATGACTGAGGTTGATTGTAGACAATATTTCAGTTTTGATATTTCTGAAGAATTGCTTGACTAACAGTTGTAAACATAATAAAAGTAATGGTAGACTTGCCATTTTATGACTAAATTCCTCTCATGATCAGCACATCCTATTCATTGTTAACTGTGTACTTTCAGTGAAGCGAGAGATGGGCAGTCAAGGCCCAGCGAAGATGTTTATTACACCATCCCGTTGGCAGTGGCACAAGTTCAAGGACATGTTCCACTTCTATGTCATGCTTGGACTCATCCCTGTTGGACTGATTGTTTTTGCTTCGAATGTGTTCATTGGTCCAGCAAAGCTTTCTCCAATCCCTGAAGACTACACCCCAAAGCACTGGGAATATTATTCGGTAAGGCTGAGATTTTCAATAGGCTCCTTTTTCTCTATCTCTCTTTCTCTCTCTTTTTTCTCTATCTCTCTTTCCCTCTTTTTTCTCTATCTCTCTTTCCCTCTTTTTTCTCTCTCTTTCTCTCTCTTTCTCTTTCTTTCTCTCTCTCATTCTCTCTCTCTCTCTCATTCTCTCTCTTTCTCTTTCTCTCTCTCTCTCTCTTTCTCTTTCTTTCTTTCTCTCTCACTTTCTCTCTCTCTCTCTCTCTCTCTTATTCTCTCTCTCATTCTCTCTCTCTCTCTCATTCTCTCTCTCTCTCATTCGTAATAACTTCGTATAGCATACATTATACGAAGTTATACGAGCAAATAAAATAAAAAAAAAAAAAAATTTTTTTTTTTTTTTATTTTATTTGCTCGTATAACTTCGTATAATGTATGCTATACGAAGTTATTACGAATGAGAGAGAGAGAGAATGAGAGAGAGAATAAGAGAGAGAGAGAGAGAGAGAGAGCAAAGAGAGCAAAGAGAGCAAAGAGAGCAAAGAGAGCAAAGAGAGAGAGAGAGAGAGAGAGAGAGAGAGAGAGAGAGCGAGAGAGAGACAGGGCGGGACAGAGAGAGAGAGAGAGAGAGAGATAAAGAGAGAGAGAGAGAGAGAGAATGAGAGAGAGAGAGAGTGAGAGAGAGAGAGAGAGAGAGAGACAAAGAGAGAGAGAAAGAAAGAAAGAGAGAGAAAGTGACAGAGAAAGAAAGAGAGAGAAAAAGAAAGAAAGAGAGAGAAAGTGAGAGAAAAAGAAAGAGAGAGAAAGTGACAGAAAAAGAAAGAGAGAGAAAAAGAAAGAAAGAGAGAGAAAAAGAAAGAAAGAGAGAGAAAAAGAGAGAGAGAGAGAAAGAGAGA